ATTATCTTCTCCTTGATCACTAGGTTAGAGGTTAGGTACCTAACCTAGGTAGGTAGATACATCGAAGCGGAGCAGGAAAGTGAGCGCAAGGAGACTTCGGCAGATCATCTTGGAGGGACGGATAATTCAAGCCTTATCGCCAAGACTCTCGATGAAAATGAAGATGAAGCTTAATTCCAGCTCTTAGATGAGGGGAAAACTTCATTTGCAGTAACTCGAGTCTAAGGGAGAGGGGCGTGCGGGTGTTCGGGTGTTCAGCCATCATGGGTTAGGGTAGAAGAGAGAGGTCCAAAGGGCAGCGACTATTTAATACGAATATACTCTTTACTTAAGTTTGCGTATTGGTAATGTCATGTTCGTGAATTCCCTTTAAATACATGTTGGGGAATGGTTTAACGGTAATACCGAGGTACCTAGGTATGTAAGGAGGTAAGTGCAAGTGTAAGTGTAAGTGTAATTGAAGTAAACTTTCAGCCATAAATCCAATGAAATTAAGCTCACGTAAGTAACGGCCGCGTGGCATTCTTTATAATTGAGCAAACATAGGTACCTAAGGTAGGTAGGTAAGCAACTCTTTAGAGATATTGGAAATGGAACACTCCATATATCTACATTGCCTACATTACCTACTGCCTACATGATAATTTACCACTAGACGAATCAAAATGGGCAACGGTGTGTTAACGAGGAAATGATAAACAAGCTTAGATCGGATGAAGAGAAAGATACACAGTGCATTTAGCACAGTATCCTTAACGATCGATTACTGTATCCTATCAGGCAACGCGTCCTGCCTTCCTAAGTCATGTTTTGAAACATTCCAAGGATATTTTAAGCATACAACCTTGGAAAAACCCCGGCCTCCCCCAGGTTTGGCCGATTCACCACCTTCCATTACTTAGCATTTTTTTTAGATTGATCGAAACCCAGTCGGGCCGTCCCCTGGATTTCAAGCTAGAACCCAACCATCTCCAACTATCCATTTCCTTTCTATTTTCTCCTAACAGCTCTTTGTTGTCACTGAAATTAGATGAGAAAGTTTAGCGCCAGGGGCACCGCTCTGTCATCAGGGAATGCAACGCAACGCAACGCAACGCAGCAGTAACTAGCTAGCAGTAACCTAAGCTTTTACTATGCATGGACAAGAAATCGTTTAACTAGATGTTGAGTCTAGATGGTTAGACTTCTTGTGGACTGGGCTCAAATTTTGAGTGTTTGGACCTATCTCCAAGTGTTACGACAAGACAATCAAGGGGGAAAAAAAAACACTATCATCCGATAGTGGCTAGTTATTCCTAAAATTCCAGGGCTGTGGATTCGTACCGCGAAGCCGTGTCAGATGGCCCCCAGATAGGCCCCAGTCTAAGTCGATGACTTACATGTGGCCTCGAATGTCTCGCGGCTCCAACGTCACATGCTTGAAACAACCACCTTAATATGGAACACTCCAAGTAATTTAGGATGGCCACCGGCATCCAATCTCCTACCGGCTCCTTCATCCTACCTATCACATCTTGCATGGTACCTGAATGGACGATTCCGTTTATAGTAGGAGGCTTCCAAGCCGCGGTAATGCCTGACCCTGAACATGTTCTAGCTCTGCTAGTCTTGGGAGCTGCCGCAATGAAAGGATGACCTTTGGTGCATACGACTCCACTACCTTATACTTTGGCAGAGGTCCGTATGCTGGTCGAAGCCTACCTCCGTACCTAGTTTTAGATCTTTGTGGCCTTCGTCTCCACAATGCTACTTCGCTGGATTGTTTCCTCTAGGAATGTTGTGTCTTGGTAGAGTTTAACAAGTAGGTGCTCAATATACTCTATTCGAGTAGTCGAGTGGTCAAACCCCTTTCGCTAGTCTGCAACCTTGCGCGTGGCTGTTGCGCTCGGTCGAACCAACCCAAGTTCGCTTGTTCAACATGGGGTTGGCAAAAGGTCAGGGGTCTTCGCTCTAGCCTTCGATTCTCTCATGTCTTTGGTTTCTCTCCATCCTGCGTAAGATCTTCAGTCACTTGGTAGTTCACGTTACCCTGAGGCTCCAACCCTGCTATTTATCATCGGTGCATGACCCAGCCAGCTGTGATATTTCAACAACTTGTGACGACACTCGACCTTACCTTTCTTTTCTTTTCTCTTATAAGTTCTCTTCCTATCCGTCCCATCTTGGGACTTGTATGCATCTTGCTGTCCGTGTCTTCATCACTCAGCTTGCAATATGCGGTTTCAAACATTCTTTTCGGCTGCAATCGGCCTCGCCGCTACTGTAAATGCTTTCTGGCTTGAGGATATACCTCGTAAGAGTGCCCTTGACGTCTCTCAACTGCCTTCATTAACATTCGAACAGACCAGGGCGTTGCACCTTTTGGAGGTGATGGCTATACGGTGTTCCGTAACGTAAAAGACTTCGGCGCCAAAGGTGATGGAACGACAGATGATACCGCTGCCATCACAGCAGCCATGAACACGCCTGACAACAGGTGCTTACAAGGATGTGTAAGTGATACTCGGCAGGACGGTACACATCTGCTGAATATGTCGAGAGTACTAACATTTTCATACCCCTAGGCTTCTACCACCACGACTCCGGCAGTCGTTTACTTTCCATCAGGAACCTATATAATCTCCAAGTCCATTGTTCCCCCGTACTTTACTCAGATGGTTGGTGACCCGACCAATCGACCCGTGATCAAAGGTAGTGCCAACTTCCAAGGCTTTGGTCTGATCGATGGCAACCCTTACTATACCGAGAACTTGAACTGGGTTTCGACGAACGTCTTTTACCGCCAAATCCGTAATTTTGTTTTTGATACCACCGGTATTGCGCCGGCAACCGCAGCGACTGGTATCCATTGGCCAACTTCGCAAGCGACTAGTCTTATTAATGTCGAGTTCAACATGCCTACGGACCCTAGTGTCGTTCACGTCGGACTCTTCATTGAGAGCGGTAGGCTTTGCATACTCTATTTTCCCTTACATTAGACTGACTTTCGCAGGCTCCGGAGGTTTCATGAGTGACTTGACGTTCAATGGAGGCGCAACGGGAGCATCCATGGGCAACCAGCAATACACGATGAGGAACCTGGTATTTAACAACTGCCAAACAGGTATGTTATCACATTTCATATAAGAGATATGAAAGATTCATGTAGGTATTGACTATGGGCCTATAGCTATCATCCAACTATGGAACTGGGGCTGGACCTATATTGGACTGCAGATCAACAACTGCCAAAAGGGTATTGATATCACAGCTGGTGGATCTGATGCGATTGCGACTGGCTCCATTACAGTCATCGATAGTACTTTCAAGGACACTCCGGTCGGCATCACGACGGCATTCCAATCTGGCTCTAAGCCGGACACAGCCGGAAGTATTATCTTAGAGAATCTTAACCTCCAGAATGTCCCCGTCGCGGTTCAGGGCCCGAGTGGCACTTTACTTGAAGGAGGTTCCACGACGATTCAAGCATGGGGCCAGGGACACCAATACACGCCTGACGGACCCAACGCATTCCAAGCAACCATCACTCCCAACAATAGACCGGCTTCCCTCGTGGTTGACAATGCTTACTACTCCCGATCAAAGCCTCAGTATGAGAAGCTTGCTGCATCCGATATCGTGAGCGCCCGGAGCTCCGGAGCTAAGGGTGATTCTACGACTGATGATGTAAGTTTACCCTTTTGCCCTTGGTCTCGATAATATTGGTGGTTTATTAACAAAGTAAAAGACCGCAGCGCTACAGTCCGCCATTAACAGCGCAGCCTCCGGCGGAAAGGTTCTCTTCCTTGACCATGGTATTTACAAGGTTACTTCAACCCTGAGCATCCCGGCTGGCTCAAAGATTGTCGGAGAAGGCTACCCTATCATCGTAGCTAGCGGCGCAACCTTCGGTGATATGAACAACCCGAAGCCTCTGCTACAAGTCGGTGCCAACTCAGGCGATGCTGGACAAGTAGAGTTCTCGGACTTTGTTGTAGGAAACCAAGGACCTGCTCCCGGAGCTATTCTTATCGAGTGGAACCTGGCTTCGACGGATACTCCGAGTGGTATGTGGGATGTCCACGCCAGAGTCGGTGGATTTACAGGCTCGGACTTCCAAGTCGCACAGTGCCTTAAGCAGCCCGGCTCCAGCACCATCGACGAGAAATGTATCGGCGCGTACATGTTGATGCACGTTACATCAAAGGCTTCCAACCTATACATGGAGAATACATGGCTATGGACAGCTGACCACGACATTGAAGATGCCACTAACACACAAATTACTATCTACTCCGGCAGGGGTCTCCGTAAGAATTATCTACTCTTTCTGGCTCCCATAGATCACTAACGGATTATAGTCATCGAATCGACCGTCGGAAACTTCTGGCTCGTCGGTACCGCTGTTGAGCATAACAACCTTTACAATTACCAATTTGTTGGGACGAAGAACATCTTCGCCAGCATGCTCCAGACCGAGACCCCGTAAGTCGAGTCCCAGCCTTTTTGAATTACCAACGCTTACACCTGTTTAAGATACTACCAGCCCACACCGGATGCTACCAAGCCTTTCCCCGTGGTCGAAGCTCTTAAGGACCCCGACTTTGCGGCAACATGCAATGGTGTTGAAGGAAACTGCGCCAATGCATGGGGTCTGCGAATCGTCGACTCGTCAGATATTTTCATCTACGGTGCCGGCCACTATTCGTTCTTCAACAACTATAGCACTGGTATGTCAAAACGCAACCTTTCTATTCTCCTTAACCGTGAGAAGGATCCATATGCTAACTTCGTGCTACTATAGATTGCTCTACCGTAGATGCAGGTGAAAACTGCCAGTCGCGAATCGTCTCGCTCGAAGGCTCGATTAGCAACGTTAACATCTACGCCCTCAACACAATCGGCTCTCTTAGCATGATTGATCGTGATGGCAAGAGCTTAGCCAAGTGGCAAGACAACGTGAATGTGTTCCCGGCTAATATCATGCTGTTCAGGACCGGTTAGGAGCCGAGTCTGTGTGAACAACCATCTCGCGCTAGAAGCGCTTCGCCAGGGAGCGAAAGGGTTCTATTCCTACATGGGCACCCAGGATATGCCAGATGGAAATTGATATCTGCGGGATATATCATAGGTTTTGTGGGCTGGTTTGCATATGTTTCGCTGTATATCCTTTGAATTATTGAAATTAAGTATCTTCATGTATATAGTAGGTGAATTAAGCTGGATTTACATTAGCATTTGGGAAGCTTGCTGGAAATAAACACCTGAGCTATCATCATCCATCTAGGGAATATCCAACATCGCCGCTTTCGCTTCCTAACTTGACTAGTCGTGCCCGCATCCCCTCCGCCCTCGTCCTTTGCTTCTCGTCTAGATTGCTAAAGTCACATTTATCTACCCACTGCAGCATCTACGGTTAGTATTACTCTTCACTAAATTGAAATCCGTATGGACGGGGAATGGGGACGTGGGCTCGACCTTTCCGGCTCCATGGGCTACTTTTGGACAAGAAAGAAAAAAGAACAATGATCACTCACGCTACCGACAGCATGCTGCAACACATTTCTAGCCCTCAATTTACCGCCAGCGACATGTCCAACAGACCCATGCAGACTCAAGCGCTCGCGACTGCCATCATAGCGGCCTCGATGCAGTATATTGTTATTATAAAACACGACATCACCAGCATCAAGCTTCACGACTAACTGATCCGGCATATCCGGCTCAAAAGGCCCTGCAGCACGCTCTTGCTCGGTCCTAGGCCGCGCGTGCGATCCGGGCACCACGACCAAGCTCTCGTCGCCATCGCACAGCGCCAGATTCCACTGCGCATGCCAAGCGGGCTCCGTCAGGCGATTGGTTTCCTCCTGGGCGCTAGCTCCGGCGGGGATGTCGTCGCGGTGCCAGCGCAGCTCGTAGTCCGTGCCGTCCGAGGGTCGTACGAGCAGGTTGTACAGCTCCATGACTAGCTCGTCGTCTGAGCATGGGCCAAGAAGCTCCTTGGCCACGCCTAGGACCTCGTCGCCAAAGTAGCTCGCGGCGAAAGTCGGGGCGTCGGGCAGTGCTGGGTTCAGCAGGTGCTGGACCCCCCAGATCCCAACCCCGGGGCTCCACGTCCACGGCGGGAACTGTTTCCCGACCGTGCGCACATGTGGCCAGGACCCCTGGAGCGCAAGCTCCCTTGTGCGTTCTGCCGCAGCGCGCTGCTGCGAGACCTGTTTCGCGCTAAGGATCGACCTCAGGACTACGAATCCGTCCTTGTCCAGCTGCGAGCGTAGCGTCGAGGTGGGCATCGTGGACGTCTGTGAATGTGTGGGGTGTACGGACCGAGGCTCTCGTGCTCTTGGATAGTTACTTGGCCTTGCGCAGCGCACTGGCAGCTCCAAGTGTGACCTTCTGAATATACTTGCGTAACGTCGCCTTGAGTAACAGTCCCCTATGCTGAGCCTTGTATGGACGACTGTGTGTTCTCGTGGCAGCAGCTCGGAGACTTGGCTGCTGCTGCTTTGGGTAGGTTAATGGTTCGACCCGCGATAGAACCGAGTAAAAATGCCCCCTTATAGTCAACTGCTGGAATGAGGCTACGTGATCGATGAGTTGGAGTAAAAACGCTGATCTTTCCCCGGAAGAATCAATGGTCTGGTGATAAGTAAGCCGGTAAGGTAGGGTTGGGATAGCGATAGTGGAGATGATCTCATTGTATTGCGGGGTTGAATCGTCAAAGATCCCTTCGCCTCCACTATGATACAACGTTGCGCTCCGTCGGTATGATTCCGAGCTTCCCTGACTTGGGGTAGCTAAGTGGGGAATAGAACGAACGTGAACAGCGGGTGTATGTTGACTACCTAAAGTCTATTATTCTAGAGTGAAGACATCAAGTCATACAATATTAGAATGGACACCTACCTAACCTAGGTATCTACTATATTTTCTTGGGGTATTTGTTGGATTAGCCGTGTTAGATGGAAGTCGAACCTAGTATATTTACTATATCAAGACAGAAACTTTTCGTTAAATCGAGAATAGACCGAGCCTCCTGCGCCGTCGCTCATGGAATAGAAAAGAATAGGCCGCCATCCGTCAACATATTCCATATACCGCCATATATAAAGCGTACATACTAAGGCATGTCCCTACATACCTGATCCAGAGTCCTTCATGTTTTGCGCCCGCGTTTCGCCCTTGACGTAGCCACTCAAACGCATCTCGTTTGACTCATCGCCATGCCCATCCATAAACTGTCCCCTTGACTGACTTGTGGAATAGGCAGGCAGTGTCGAGATTCCTGGTTGAACTCTATACCGATACCCGTCTGTTACCATGGCCTCGGCTGCGAGATCCGAACTGCCTATGGACGTGTCCGGCACGTCCTGAGATACCGTGTGGAATATTCCATGCTGGTGTATAACTGGCGAAATGGGAGACACCTGAGATATTCGGGAAGCGACGGAAACGGGCGAGACAGGAAGTGGTAGTGTCCTCCTTTGCTCGTTGAATACGTGATCCTCATGTAGTTCACCTGAAGATCCGAAGTCGTGGGTTTGTATTGTCGGGTTAGCCCTTGCGGCCGGCGTACAGATCCCTTCGCTAGATGGCTCCACACGATCTAGGCCTCTCTCGGGATTGGGACTTTGAATATTGGATCTTATGTGATCAAGTTGATACGTATCATCTACCGGCGTAAATAAGTGATCTTTTTGGCCGTGGTTCCAACGTTGCTCGAAGATTCGTAAGGCCCCCAATGTTGTCGTCAACATGTAAGTAAATCTGTCCTTATTAGTAGATGGATGAATACACGAGGGGACCGTGAGTCTCGTACATTAGTGCTGCGGCGATAAAATAGAAACTTTGTTCTAGGGAACAGTATCTATCAAGTAGTCCTTTTATATCACCTCCGTTACCAAATCTTATCGTATCGTATCCTGGAGGCGGGTTGTTAGGAGCGTCGTTCTTTTCGTTATCGTCTCGAGTTAACCCATGACAATCCGTTGGAAGTCCTGTGCGAGAGAGCAGTGTTATGATGGCGATCATCATTCCATTGAATACCACGTCGCCAACGATGAAGATGGTGGACAATATCGTGCTATATCTCCTATGTCGGTTACCGGAGTGCTGCATCAAGAGTACAATGCCAGAATAGATGAGTGCGACACAACTCTAATCACGGGTAAGTTCCTCGATGTGTGAAAGCAGATGGCTAAGGAGGCGATACGAACCATCATCTCTAGACAGTACATACTTGTCGCAAGGCCGAGTCGATTACCGTTGATGTATACAAGAAGAAACCCGTTCATTACAGCAGTTACGAGAGTACCCGACACCTGTAACAGCCTGGCAAAGAGTAGCCATTTCGATACAGTCCATCTCGGTGCCCACTTTGGCGACAGCCATTCCATAGTAGTATACGATAGGGGCTATTGTCGTCAAGTTTTCAATCGGCACGGATCCGACAAGGTCAGTGCTCCTCCGTAGGAGCGGAAGATAGGAATATAAATTTCCAAGTTATGTTTTAAGACGTGGGAAGATGTATCCAGAACCCAGATATGGAGGACTGATATTTTGGTTCGATTCTTGTCGGTAATCGGAATGAGGCTATGCCTTACTGTAACTGTAACCCGCACAGTATGCCGCCCAGCCGATATTTCCATACTTAGCTGATCATCACTGGACATTAGTTATTTTCGGAATAGCTTGGTTGTTATTAACTTTACTCCTCCGGAATGTATCTGTATCTCAATAACCCTTTTGAGGCTACTCGACGCAATACTTGGTGATATCGCAACTGCAAGTAGTAGTCATGTCGGAATCTCGCAGATTTTTGACACCATATTTACCCAGGTACCTATATCACAGTGAAGTACGCAGCTAACAAGAGCGATACGAAAAACCTGGGGCCAGTATGAAAGCTAACTGAAAACCGATACCAGAATAACTAAATGTGGTTGGCCTGCAGCCAAAACAGTCAACACTTGCATGCACCGCCCTGTTGATCCACCCAGCGCTACCCAAAGGAGGCGGAAGAAGAACAAGGCATATAGACAGACACTAATATGTATGAATGAAGAGCGCCGAGATAAGACGTGCTTGTTAGACGCCATTGGCGTTAAAGCGGCTTCGCAGTCTCTTTTATCCAATTGAAGTAAGCAGCATCACTGCCCTAATATAAGTTCTACGCCCACCACAGCAGGCTCTGCAATACTGCGTGTTCTTTCGCTTCGGGTCACACGTTTTTGGAGTATAGATCGTGAAGTTTGCCTCATTATCTCTTAATTGCTTTCGTGAGATTTGTATGGACGATGAGTGTCAATCGGATGAGTAGAGGTAGCACACAACTGCGTGTCAGACGAGATGCAGCCCACACCTCTCGCCATTTGAATACGATCCGGAGAGATATCGGAAGGTCTCGATGAAAAAATAGCATCAGACGGACTGCGCCCGATGTACCCTATATGCACTTTTCGTCCGGCCAGCGTAACGTGAAGCCTGTGACTGTCTTCCGAACGTCCTCGTCGCCTGGATCATTTTCAAACATAGCCTTGTCCATTTTCTCCTCGAGAAATTTCTCAACAATGAAACCTCTCTCCCGCGCAAGGTCAAAGAATGCGAGATCCTTGTGTTGTAGCCAGGGCCGGTAACTTGTGAAGCAGACGAAGGCAGTGCTGGTTTTCTTCCGGCTCATGGTTGCCTCGATCGACGAAATCATGTTCCCGTGTTCAGAGTGTCTGAATAGCAGGTCGGCTAAGATAAGTATATCAAATTTGTCCCTCTTGACTGACTCCAGGTGCGATAGTAGATGAGTTGCATCAGCTCCCCAGACATAGCCATCTGCAACTATTGGGGCGTTATCGGCATGGCCGTTTACTGTAGGTATAAGTTCACAACCTAGGATATTTTTCTTCATATTGACTATCACATCCGGATCGGGGTAATCGGTGACCACGACCTTTTCGGCCCCCAGGATGGCGCTCACTATGCTAGGTAGCCCGGCTCCGGCCCCGAGCTCGAGCACAGTCCGGCCCCGGACCTCCGATACATGGGACTCGAAATATTTAGATATAATGCGACTGCCATTCCACAGATGGTGGGCTTCCAAGGGGCTATGGCCTACAAGATGAAGTGTGATGGTCTCCCCCGACTGTAGTGTATAAACCTGAAAGGTTGGGGGCGGTGATGGGGGATAATAGTCGTCTGGTTCTTCAAAGAACCCCGCGGTATCTGGTTCCATAGGATTTGGTTGGTCTAATGATAATGATATGAAAATTTGACGGGTTGAAATTAAAATTTTCTTTCTTTTTCCCATTAAAGGCTTTAGCTCCATTCATGTGCCGTTAGAGTACGAAGTACATGTCTACCTAGGTACATACCTAGGTACGAAGGTGTGGGCCAAAAGTCTTGTACCACTATCCCGACCTAAATTTAGCCTTAGGTAACTTAACATGTAGCTGATACAGTGTCAATCTGAGGATGTGCAAGAGTTCCAATTAAAGCTTCGCCCACATTGTAACCCCACACAGTTAATTTCACAGTAAACCTACATCCTGATACCATGTATATTTTGTAGTAGTTCCATAATTAGAATTCTTAGGAATACCGTATATAGCCGTTGTAGTCTACAATAAAAGTAGTAAATATATAGGCTTCGCCACATGCTGTGCAAATATTCTGGTTTGGACAAGGCGTTTGAGTTGAACGTCGGCAGAACTAATGAAACCGGGCTGAAGTGAATGTGCATGATAGTGTCGTACTGGACGAGGCAGAAAGAATATATTTAGGCCAACTAAGGCGATATAATAACTAAAAAGATACCAAGGCTGTAGGTAATCTATTTAGCATAGTCAAAGAGATAGCTCATACCAAGCCTCAATTAGAAAGTGATTCGATTTTACTAATGGCAACATTTCTCAATATCTTATATAAGATTTTATAGCTGTGTACATAGGTGATGCGATCGTGGCGGTTAATAGCATCTAACATCAAAGGAAAGTGAAGTCTTTCTATGATAACTCGGCAAAGTCTTCCGGATCAAGTACCGCGAGATACAAATATACTGTCAGCACTCTCAATAAATAGGTAACTTACAACTACATAATCTAGTGACGAATGAAGACCCCGGGATTTTTATGAGCGTTTCGGGGTTGGTGTCAGCCCCCTCTCCCCTCCCCACAATGTAAGCAGTCTGCATGCTATCTACCTACTACTGCTGATGGCATGATCTTAACCTAGAACATTCTCAGCATACTCGGGCTGACACTTATATCCGTAATCCCGACTCCTGATTAAAGATAGAAGTAAGAGCACGTTGGTTGCCAAATCTCTTAGTGTTGTATTTTTTAGATGATTCAACTTTGAATCAGAAAAGTATCACAACTTCCTAGTTTTGATTTTGCATTAACACTACTACAGACTTCATATTCCGACCTGATGCGTCCATCACAGATACTTCGAAGTGACGAGCTCCCTATCGGAAAATATGGCCAGTGAGTCGGGGAAAATACCAACCTAGTTTTTACCATTGGTTATCCTACAATTTGTCAACGGAAATTAGCCTTGCTAACCATAGTTCACTTTATATAGCTATCTAAATAAAGACACGTGGGGGCATCTTGGTACAGTTAAGCCCGTATAATTAACCCAACTTGTCTAAAGCTCCAGTTAACCTGACCTAGGCTGCGTCCAACCACAGAAGGGCATAATTACATACGGTCTTAGTTCAAACCGCCAGAACGTCCTTGCTGGTGCTGCCCACGACGCTGTGTTTAACACCTGGCGTCGATTTAGTAAGCAGGTTCTATACTGGGCACCGCCGCTACTCGCTGCCTATTATGCCATGGACTGGGCTATCAAGAGGTATGTCCCTAACGAAGACAGCCCGTTTCAAATACATGGAGTAACATGGGCTGTAGAAACGAGTACCTCAATGGCAAAGCCGGAAGGGCCGAGTCTACCGACTAGGTTAAAGAAGATACCACTCTCTCAGTTGCAACTATCTTTTGCCTATAACTATAGGGTGAATACTGTGTGATAACTAGTTCTCAACTTTCCTATCTATTATATACCTACGCCCCATATATATTTGGCAGCCTCTTTTAAAGGGCATAAGAAGGTAAAATATAGGGCTCTATGTCGTATATTCATGGCTATCTGTTGAGACATTCAAGGTTACTGTCCTAGAGGAATCTTTCCTTGATATCATTATGAGAAAGGGTTCTATTCTATCAAAGGAATTTCTGAGGTTTACAGATAAATAGCGCTTTGAAATGGTGACAATATCGTCTTCAAAAAAGAAAGATAGGAACTACAAATACTGATGACTATTAAGCCAAGTCTTATCCTTTTCTCATGTCGTTTCTCCTTGCACTTACTTCATATTTACCTACACCTATTAGTAAAGGGTTTGGCAAACAAGTTGCAAGTTTTAATACTATTACATTGGCTTTGATTAGTGACTCGAAAAGGTGCAATAGGAAACCATTTCAATTATTGGTTTTATTATTTAACATGTGTATCATGTACAACCTCAAAAGCGTTGTATATTGTGATTTCTCTTGGAATCGAAATGTGTGCTTACTAAGTATCTACCCAAGATACCTCAGGTAAGCGTAAAAACCATCACTCGGTTATTATTACATGTAATACAGGTAGCCCTAATGCAGTAACTTTAAACGTACAGTAAAAATCCACTAAACGTATAACACATCCACTTTCACATAAGATAGCCTAATATGCCATTATCTATTTAATTTATATTAGGATTAGCATTGTTTTTTAATAAATTTATAGTTTTACTTAATTATATTATAATATTTATATTTAATTAAATATAAAATTTAAATAAATAAAAATTAATATATTTATAATTAAATTTAATATGTATATATAAGCTATAAGTTTATATATTTAATTAAGGTAATAATATAAAGGTTAAAGTTATTAATTTAATTGGTTATATTAATTTAGCCACTAATTTTATTGTTTTATAAGTTGTTGAGAAAGGATAATAAGCGTTTATTACTGTTAAATTATAAGCTGTTAAAGCTGTTAAGGTTGTTGGGAAGGTTTTAAAGATTATTATTAATAGTTTTATAAACCTTATAACTTGTAGAGGCTAAATGTAATATTAGGTCTTGCTAGCGTTAGCGTTGGAAATAAAGGGATTGTATATTATTATATATATTATTATTAAGGCAGTTATGTTAAGGCTGTTATTAAGGCTATTATTTGTTAACTTATCGAAAAGGTAATAATAACTTCAATTTAAATTTTATATTTAATTAAATATAAATATTATAATATAATTAGGTAAAATTATAAATTTGTTAAGGAGCGATGTTAATCTTAATATAAATTAGGTAGGTGGTGGCATATTGGGCTATCTTACGTGAAAGTGGATGTGCTGTATATTTAGTGGATTTTTACTGTACGTTTAAAGTTACTGGCCCTAATGGGTGCATAAGGCTGGTGACGATCAAGCACCATCTAAAACTTTTCATAATTCAAATTGCCAATATCAAGAGATATTCATTGGATCAGATTGTGGCGTGTTCTACTCAATAGTACTGTGTTTCTAACTCGTATATCAAAGTCTAAAAAGCGACATAAATGTTATTTCTTTGGTTGTAATTCTTCGGCCATCTTTACGTGACTAGTACATTGAAGTTAAAATACTATTAATATATACGTTTGGCGAATGCAAGGGTTTCGAAGCTTAGTAACACCGAATCAAGTCGTTCTATTTAGTTAGATTAAGTGATTTCTCTTTAAGTGCCCTTTTAGATGATTCTTTACCTGTGTAAGCCTTTCAGGAGTAGATATGAGATAATTGTCGTTCCTAAGCTTGTCACTCAGTTAGTACCGGTACTAAGGGTTGTAAGGGTTGATACTTTTGGAAAGTTACCTTAACTTTGTAATTGTTGTTGAATTTCTCTCGTAATAGTTCAACGAGATGCTTTGGATTCACCAGATATCCAGGAATTCTGTATTCCTCCGGGCATGACTTATGGTTTGGTACTTTGAATGCGCATTTGCGGAGTTCTCGAGTATTCCCCGATTTCGGAACAATATGCGACGGAGATGAGAGAGATGCCATTTCTAGACGAATTAAGTGGCTATGAAGGATGAATAAAACCGGGTCCTTGTTTGTCGAGTAAATGGAGATTATTAGTAGTTATGATTTTGAACATCGACTGACCCTACAGTTCAATATATATAGTGAAGCCACGAGGGTTATGTACCCTCGCAGAAGTATGGAGATCGAAAGCTGGTACTTGAATGGCTTGTGTAACTCTAGAGTGGAGCCGTAGGTATCATGATGATCCTTATTGATGTCCTACCCTAGGAGATTAAAATGTAATAAACCTGACCTATTCTACAAGCTAAGGCTGCTTGTCAATAATTACTACGTGTCATATTTAGCAGTGATCGAGAGATGGACATATGTATTATGCCAGCTTTCAATGTTACATTGCATCATGCTGTGTAACACACCTTCAAGCCTCGATAGATTGTAGGCAATTTAATAAGTTCAACGTGGGCTAATATCCTTTTAAAACGTGTAATGTGTAGAGGTATCTACCTATATGGTATTATACTAGTATTATTTAGGTATTGGGTCTTGTATTGGGTAATTCAGGAGTTTCATTTAGACCGCGGCCCCGGCATATCATATAAGACTACTGGACTATGTTAGGCTGACCTCACATGTTTCTCACCTTAGCATTATAATAGAAATAATTTTTTAACTTCGCAGAAGTGAGAGTGTCTTTAAGGCATGGCATAGGATCGGATACTTCGGCCAAAGTGTGCCTTACCACGTAAAGTGTCTTTGGTGTGTAGGACAAATCAATATTCCCTCATTCTGCATTTCCGTAATTTACCCCCTAACTTAGATAGGTTTTACGTAGGAAGTGGCTGTGCAAATAAGATAATACCGTGAGTAGATAATTATAATCTAAGTTGTTATCGCTTTACGGAGAAGGTAAAGGATTTTATAGGCGGCTATCTTTACTTTGCGCCTCTAAGGGTAGGTTAATCATTTTCTTTAGGGCGAAGAGAGGCTCATTTAGAGTCGTAACTTCAAGCTACTCTAGCCCACCGAAAGAAACGTAGCAAGGGTCACCGTAGATAAGACCCAGGACGACATAAGGCTACGAAGAATATGAAATTTTTGAGGCTCAGGACTTTGAGATGCATAAGGCGAACCACAAAGACGCTGCTGCCTATCTTTTTGTTGCCTGAATTATATATGTTTTTAACTTTGTTCAGTTGCCTCGTTTGACCCTCTCTATATTCACAAATATTATAAATATCTCGTTGGGTCAGCGGTAGAGTACATCTAATATTCATGCTAATGAATCACCCTGACCCCTCATTATCAATCTCAGATAACTAGGTACTGTTATAATACTAGAAATAATTGATAGATCATTTCCTTTCATCCTTTCATACTGCGTACCTTGAATCAGTCCTAGCTACTGTTCAGGGGAAGAGCGAGCACTTCTATGCTCAATGTAAGCTAGTCATTTCACGAGATCCAGCTTTTTTCTAGGCTATCGAATTCTAACACTACATTAAAATGTAGATGACTCAATATCGGGGTGGCCAATCCCCAAAAGATAACGCAAATGCACATGTACAATACCGCGACCGCGGCGACAAGTTTCGGCGGGAGTATCAAAAACCCAATGCAAGTGCGGGCGTGTTAAACGGATTGAGTACGTATAGGGATGGGAAGCTATATAAAATCTTGCGAGAAAGCAGAATATCTCATACCAACAATAAAGATACTTACTTTATCCCTTTCGACAAGCTTGAATTGGCCAGGAATCCTGGGCTTGTTGAACAAGCTCTTCGAGAAGGTGAAGCTTCTCGAGACGAAATCTCAAAATGGGTGGCTAAAATTTGTACGAATCAACCCGAAGGAAGTGAAAGTTTCTTCTTTCGGACCTTTGCCATCCTGGTACTATGCGAGAACGCTAGGTGCATCGGTAGGTTTATTGACCGGAATATCGACGACTCTTATCTCCCTTTACCAACGGTAGAGCGAAATGAAAACGGGATAGCAATTTTACGAAAAAACAATGGCCGTGAAATTAGTGAAGAGACCTTGAAATACCTCTTCCAAGACCGGAGAGAGTGGAAGCAAGGAAACTTGGACAATTTCGCTACCTACCAATGGTGGGCTATTGCCCCCTTCTTTTACCGGCCGGACAATATTATTCCTCACTATGTCCTAGAAGCCTCAGACGTCTTGCCATTTACGGAGAAAAAGAATCATCTTGAGGTTGAGGTGGAGTCACTGGACGCGGAAGTTAAACAGGCCGTTTTACAAGGGGGATTCGGCGATGTTTTCATAGTGAAAGTACATCCGTCGCATTACTACTTTCGCAACCAGCCCGTAGGTTTTCTACGAAAAAAGATTGGTGCGATTTATAAACTAAACTACTGAAAGTATAGCGATAATTCACACTCATTCGCTCTTAAGCGCCTGAAATCGTTAAATGATAAAGATTTTCAATTGGAGGTCGATGCTCTAAGCAAATACAACTACGGCATTGACAAACACCTGATCCCACTACTGGCTACGATCGAGAAAGAGAGTGAAGCGGGAAAATACTACTTACTATTCCCAAAGGCAAATGGTGATCTTAGGTTTTTCTGGAAAACCCAGTTCAACAAGAATCCAAATAGAGTATCTACAGAGGTACGCTGGATGGCTGAACAGTGCCTTGGAATTGCGAATGCACTTTCGACGCTACATAAAGACCAAGACGCAGGTAATGGGGACGACTATCCCATATATGGACGCCATGGTGATATAAAAGCTGGCAATATTCTTTGGTTTTCCAAGCCGGGTACCTCAGATCCTTCAGGATGGTGTTTAGTTCTCTCCGACTTTGGATTGATGAGATTTCACCGCGCTATATCGATCTCAGCGCAGACCGCCAATAAGCTTAAAAAAACCTTAACATATCAGGCCCCCGAGTTCGATATTGCAGGCGCAAAGATATCCAGGAAATCGGATATATGGGCTCTGGGATGTACATATTTGGAATTTATCACATGCTACCTTTCGGGATATGAGGCGGTGGAAGAGGAATTCCCGAGTTGCCGAGGAGAAGAGGATAGAAATCTTCCAGGAGTCAGTGAAGACAAATTTTACCGAACAACCGCCGATGGAAAGTCGGCTGAGCTGAAGCCTGGTGTTCAGAATTGGATCTCCGACCTTCGCAGTAACCCAAAGTGCACCCAGTACTTTCAGGAGTTTCTTGACTTGATTGAGAAAGGCATGCTACGTATCGAGCGAGAAAGGCGCCTGCCAGCAGCTGATGTTGCCAAGAACCTAGAGAGTCTCCTCAAGAAGTGTCAGAGGGAGAGTTATATCATCGAGAAGCATGCCCCGCGAGTGACGAGGAGACAGTGAGAACGTCTCGCCATCTATAATGGTGGCCGTGGTCCCTATATATATTATTTGTTCTCACAAAATACAACTATTAGAAGGTAGCTAGCAGATGGGCTATATAACTATACAATCGGTTACTATTGTTAATAAATTAGCATGTTAGCATTGGCAATTAAAAGGAGGGGCTCGAACATAGTGTACAGTTATCTTGGCGATGATGAGTTGTGGTGGTTATGGTACGGTGGCACATTAGTGCACAACCGACAAAACAAAAAAACGGATGAAAATTTGTCCGATTGGCTGGCGTAAGCGCTATAATTATAGCGCACGCACCCATTAAAGGCCTTATAACTACAGGGGATTATAATAAATAATATGTTATAATTATAAAGCTTGTAAATATAAGGTTTTAATTGGCTGACATTTTGCCAGTTATAAATAACTGTTATAAAAACTTTAATTTAATTTTTAAAAATATTATTAAGTTTATTATAATTATAATAAATTTAACGCATGCAGTTATTATAATTATAATAAACTTAATAAATTTAATAAATTTTATTTTAACTTTAAAGACTTTTTTTTTTTAAAACGTTATAATTTTAACGCATATAAACGCTGTAAATATAACATATATGTTAAGTCGGACGAATTTTCATCCGTTTTTTTTTGTTTTATCGGTTATGTATTAATGGTGTACCGTAGTCATAAGGTTTTAATACATAAGTTTTATCGCTTACACCTTTATTAAACAGAATTGTCAGATTAGTCAGCCATATCAAGTGACCTGAAAATCCTTAGCCTCATATAAAATAACGGTGTAACACGCGTTTTTACAATTTTACCTTAATTAATTAAATCATTAAAAATATAATAAATTAAACCTTATATAACGTTTATTTAATATATATTAATTATATGACAATTAAAAGTTTTATATGTTTAAACCGTATAAATTTTAAAGATAAAATCTTAAATAATACCATATAATACGATATATATACGTTAAAATAAATTTTAAATAAATTATTATTTATTTATTCATTTTATTATAAATTTTATTATATTATTATTAAATTTTAAATTTAAACATTTTAATAATTAAAACGTATAAAATAAAACGTTTATATCATTTATTTAAAATTATTAGCTTTAAAAATAAATAAACTTTAATAATGTTAATATATATAAAAAACTTAAAATTTAATTCGAACTTTTTTTTTAAATATTTCGAATTTAAAATTATAAAAAATTACCTAATTTACTTAAATTTTAATTAAAAATAATAATAAAAGTAAAAATTTTATTAAAGAATTAACCGTTAATAATATTAACTTTAAATAATTAACTTTTTCTTTTTTAAATAATATAAAAAATAATTAAAATTTTATAAAAGCTTTATTTAAAAAAATTAAATATATATATATGCATTAAAAACAAATATAATTAATAAAAAGAAAAAATTATTAAATTAAAATAATTAATTATTTAAATCATATTAAATGTTAAGGATTATAATGAATAGAAAATTAAAGTTATATTAATAAAAAAGATGAAATTTTCTTAATTTATATAAGTAAGAAATAAGTTAAATTATCTTATTTATATTATCGTTATTATAATTTTATTATATAATTTTATTATTATTTCTTTTTTATAAAAGAATTATAATATTTTTATTATTTATTTATAATATTATTATTAATTAAAGTTATATTATAATTAAAATTTAAATTTTTTTAAGTTTATATATTTATATTTTAGCTTTTTTTAAAATTGGGGTTAATAATATAACTTATTTTATTTAAGTTTTTAATTAAGCTTTTTTAATAATAATATTATTTTTTTTTTCCTTATCAATTGTTATGTAGTTGTAAATTTTCTTAATAAGTTTATAAGATTTTTTTAATAGGTTAATTAAATTTGTAATAAAGGTTTTTTTATATTTTATTAAGTTTAAGGTTTAAATTGCGTTTTTAAATTAATTATATTTTTAGGTTTTAATGGGGGTTTTTATTATGTTTATTATTGTTATTAATTATTGGATATTTTTTTTTATTTAATTATATTATATTTTTTTTTATTTAAATTATGGTATAAGTTATTAAATATTTTTTTTATTTTAGTAAGTTTATTATTTTATTACTTTTATTATTTTATTATAAACTTTTAATTAGTTAAGATTTTTTTAAAATTTTATTAATAGATCTTTTTATTATTTTAATATTTAATTTAATTTTTTTACCATTATTATCATTACTTTCTTAAATAATTATATATTTAAGTTTGTTATTATTTACGTTATTTAAACTTAATAGTATATTTTCGGGATTATATTATTAGTTTTCTTCTATTTTTTTGTTATTGTTAGTTGTAATTTCTAATATTATTTTACCGCTATACTATTAATATTATGGGATTTTTAATACCTTAATAAGTTTTAATACTTTTTACTAAAAGGTTGGAATTTACTAATATTCCGGTAATTATACCACCTAAATTAATCCTAACGCCGTTAATATTTCCGTAATATTAGTTAAAAGTTTTCTAAAATTAATAGTTAAATCTTTATTGATTTTAATAGTTTTAAAATACTTTTTCGCGGGGATATATGCGAGGATTTTATAGCATTTTTTAAGGTTTTATTACGTTTGCGTAGTAATGGTATAAATTTAATATAATTGGTTTATTATGTTTTTATATAAGATATTATTATTAAATTATTTATAAGGATTTATTTTTATTAATATATTAATTATTATTTTGATTTAATATAATATATGGCGTTATTTTAATATTAAAAAAGGTTTTTTTCCTATTTATTATTATTAAAAAAATCTTTTTAAATTTTTATAAAATATTGGTTATGATTAAATAATATTTATTTAAAAGATATAATTATTTATATTTAATAAAATATTTTCTTTAAAATGTTGTTGTATTGATTTAAAAGGTTTTAGTTTTTAAAATTATTTTTATTTTATAAAGGTATTAAATTGGTTTAATATAAGCTTTAAACAAATCTTTTAAATTATACCTAATAAAATATTTTATTTTTAAATAATATAGTAATTATATAATAATTTTATTATTATTATTTAATAGAATAATTAAAAATTAAAGGAATATTATTTTATTGTTTAATTAATATGGTTAAGTTTGGTTTTAAAAGATGATATTTAAAGAAGGAAAAACTTTTTTTTTTTTTTGCAAAGTTAAATTGGTATAGTCCCTTTTATATTTTTTATAAATCTTAAATTTTTTCTAATTAACCTTACTAATCTTGCAATTAATTACATCAATCCCAATTTAAATAAATATTTTTATAATTATTTAATTAATTAAAATTAAAATTATTAATTATATTAATTTTAATTTATATAAATATTTTTATATTTTTAAAATTAATTAATAATTTTTAATTAATAAAATTATTTAATTACATTTATTATTATTAATATATTTATATTTTTAAATTTAAATTATTTTAATCTTTTATAATTAAAAATTATATTTTTTTAAATATTTATATTAATTATATTAATAGTAAAATTATATATAATATTATTATTAAGATTATTAATATATATAATAATATAATAAATAATATTATAAATAAAAATATAATTAATTTAAATTTTAATTTAATTTTAATATTAATTTTAAATATTTCTTTAATAATATTTTAATTTTTATTATTATTTATATTATTAATAATTTTTAATTTTTTTATTATAAATTTATTATTTTTATTAAATTTATTTACTAATTTTGTTGTATTTTGTATAAATAGTTTTTTTATATATTATTAATCGTACATAAAAATGTATTCCTTCTATCGTATTAAATATTTAATTATTAATATCTTTTATTTATTAACTCATTTTTTTAATAATTTCTTAATTTTATATAATATTTATTTATTATTATTTTTTTTAACAATAATTTATTTAGGTTAAAATTTTTATTTATTATATAAATCTATTTTTTATAATATTTTATAAAGGTATATTATTAATATTATTTTATATATCTTTTAATAATTTAATATATTTAATTTATAAGTTAAATTTTTAATTTATTTAATTATTATAAATAAACTAATTTTTTAAATAAATTATTTCTTTAACAATTTTTTTAATAAATTATAACTTTTATATAATTTTAAATATATAATATCTTTTATTTTCTAATTTATTAATTTATAAATTTTATTATATTATATTTTAATATTTATTATAATAAAATTTATTATAATTTTTACTTCTTTTTAATAAAGGTTTTATAAAATATTATAATTAATTAAATTATTTAATATTTTTATAATAAAAATTATAATTTTTAATTTAAAATTATATATAATTTTATTAAGGTTTTTTTATAATATTAATAATTTTATATTATTTATATTATATTATAATGTTGGAATAATATTTATTTATAAATTTTATAATATTATATAATAATATTATATAACGGTTTTAATATTTTAATTTTTTTTTCTATTTAATTATTAATTTATAAGTGGTAATTTATTAATATTATTAATTTAATATTTAATTTAATAAATAATATTTATTAATATTTTAATATAAATTTAAAATTTTAATTTAATATTATTTTTATAAATAATCTTTAATTATATAATAATAATAATTTTAATATTAATAATATTTAATAATTTATTTTATATATAATATATTTTAATATTAATATAATTTTTTTATTAAATTTATAAGTAATAATTATTATAGTGTTATAATAATTAAAACCTTTAATATACTATATTATTATTTTAAAAAGAACCTTTAATAAATTTATAATAAAATCTTATATAATAATATAATAAGATATTATTATTAAATTAATTAATATAAATTTTTTATTAGATTTAAACTTATTATTCCAATTTTTTTAATATTTAAGGTAATATTATATATATTCTTTTACTTTTTTAAATAAATTTTAAATATAAACGCTTTATAGGTTATATATTATACGTTTAAGTTTAAAATAATATTATTAATTATATACCATTTCTAATATATCTTAAACGTAAGATGATAAGATTATTAGGCGTTATTGTCTTATATCGGA